TGTGTTTAAGTTAAAGTGACTGTGGAAATTAAGTGTATTGCAAAGTTGTATTGACAAAGAATAAACTAGTTTTATTTGAGAAAGGACTTGTATCTCTGAAGTTCCTCGGAAATAATTTTTACGGGTAATTAACAAACGAACACAGACGTAACAGTATAAAGTGTGTTTCTTTGTTGGACAAGAAGTTTAACTGTGTTTTTTGTTGGACAAGAAGTTTAGTTGTGTTCCTTTGTTAGACAAGAAGTTTAGCTGTGTTCCTTTGGTATAAAGAAGTTTAACTGTGTTCATTTGTTGGACAGTAAGTGTAACTGTGTTTCTTTCTTGGACAATAAGTTTAACTGTGTTCCTTTCTTGGACAAGAAGTTTGTCTGTGTTCTTTTATTGGACAAGAAGTTTAACTATGTTTCTTTGTTCGAGAAGAAGTTTCACTATGTTCCTTGTTTGGACAAGAAGTTTTACTGTGTTCCTTTGTTAGACAAGAAGTTTAATTGTGTTTCTTTGTTAGGCAAGAAGTTTAACTGTGTAATTTTGTTGGTTAAGAAGTTTAACTGTGTTCCTTTGTTGTACACGAAGTTTAATTTTCGATCTAGAGAAATTCTAGTAGAATAAGAAAGCGAAAGATGTGGCGCCACTTGTAAGAAAACCAACAGGTAATCATTGTCAGAAGTTTGTTCGATTGGCTGCTGGATGCACCAGTACCGCCACCTGTCGCCAGTTTATATAGTTTGATGAAGTCAGTAGATCATGTTACATTTTTATTTGCCAACAGCATAGTTGAATTAAAATAAGTAAAGTTCAACCTGTGATTGAGAGCTTTTACAACACCGTAGTGCAAAGATGGATGATCCTTGAAGCTAGCAGTTAAGCCTACTAGCTTCGGAAACGCTATATTTAAACCATATACTCAACATACCCACCACCCGATAGCGTTGGTCGTTATTATGTATACGCTTGATATTTTCTGTCACCATTTGTGTTCTGAAAATATAAAATGAGTTTTCAGAAACGTACACTGAGTGGTCACAATAAATAGACACCTAATTTTTCGTCATTTAACTGATTT